CACGCCGCTCCCCTCTCGCCCCTGCAGATATTGGGCAGCATGGGGGCGGAAGCAGGTGGGCTAGCCCTGGGCAAGGAAGGAGGCCCCTCTGGTGCACATCGGGGTGACTCTTGAGTGGCCACTCAGTGTTGAACAGCTACCACTCCGACACATATCTCTCCCCCTCCTCCTGCAGATATTAGGCAGCATGGGCGCGGAGGCGGGTGGGCTAGCGCTGGGCAAGGAGGGTCCGCTGGTGCACATCGGCGCCGCCATTGCTGCTCTCTTCGGCCGCGGCTCCATCCGCGACCGCCTCGCCCGCCGGGCTGCGCGAGTGGTTGGGGGCGGGGGTGGGGGTGAGGGTGCCGGCGGGGGTGGTGGTGGTGGTGGGAATGGGAAGGAGGTTCTTGGTGCGGCAAGCGCAGGTGGGGTGCTGCGGGCAGCAACAGCAGGGACAGGAGTGTGTGAGCCTCTGCTTGCACAGAGCACCACAGAGAGCAGCACGGGCAGGGGAGGAAAGGGAGGTGGAGAGGAGGGGGGGCGGCGGCGGTGGTGGCTGCTCTACTCGGGCTGGCTGCGCTTCTTCGACAACGACCGTGCGCGTCACGACCTCGTCACCATTGGTGCCGGCGCTGGCGTGGCGGCGGCTTTTCAGTGCCCCCTTGGGGGAATTCTCTTTGCTCTCGAGGAGCTCACTTCCTGGTAGGTGCCGCTGTGCTCTGTTCCTGTGTGGCTGCATCTCTGCTAACACAACAGTAGCTGTTCTACTCGGACTGGCTGTGTTTCTTCGGCAACGACCGGGCGCGCCACGACCTCGTCACTATTGGTGCTGGGGCAGGTGTGGCGGCGGCCTTCCAGTGCCCGCTGGGAGGCATCCTGTTTGCGCTAGAGGAGCTCACCTCCTGGTGAGTGCTGCTCTGCTCTGCTCTGATCTTGTGTGGCTTCACCTCCTATGCGGTGCTGCACCTCTGGTAACGACAACGACAGCACCACTGGTGCCTGCTCTACTCGGGCTGGCTACGTTTCTTCGGCAACGACCGTGCGCGCCACGACCTCGTCACCATTGGTGCTGCTGGGGGGGGTTTGCGGCCGCCAGTGCCCGTTGGGAGGGATTCTCTTTGCTCTCGAGGAGCTCATCTCCTGGTGGGTGCTGCTGCTGTTCTGGTTTGCTCCTCTGTGGCTTGACCTCCTGGTTGTGTGGCCACACCTCCCAGTAGCACAGTACTGGCCGGTGTGGTGGGTGCGGCAGCCTTCCTGTGCCTGCTGGGTGGAGTTCTCTTCACTCTCGAGGAACTCACTTCCTGCTGGCTGCTTTTGCTGCTCTTGTGGGTCTGCACCTCAGGTAGCACAGTTGTGATGCCAGAGTTTCTGCCCCTGGTAACACGGTTCGAGCTTCAAAGGTTGCTGTCTTCATGCTGCTGCTGCTCGTGTGCATGTGGCGTTGCCCGTGCTGCTGCTCGTGTGCATGTGGCGTTGCCCGTGCTGCTCTACTCGTGCCCTACTTCTCCTGTGTTTTCCCTGCTGCACATCTGAGTACCAAAGGTGGCGTTGAAAGCGCTATTTCCTCAACTTCTTCGCCTCACAGCTGCTTGTCTCCCCCCTGCCACGAACCTTTGTTCTGCCTTGCTCCTTTGTGCACCTTGCTCCCAATCCCTCCCAACCCCTCTCATCCCCTCCCAACTCCTCTCAACTCCCCCCAACCCCTCTCAACCCCGTCCAAGCAGGTGGAAGAAGAAGGTGGTGTGGAAGGCACTGTTCACGAATGCGGTGGGCGCCATTGCACTGCGAGCACTCATGGCGGCGTGCCAGGGGGGGCAATGCGGGCTGTACAGCGATGGGGGGTTCATTCTCTTCGATGCCCAGGTGCGTCAAGGGCGTGGATATGGTGTCGGGGGGGGTGATCATGCACTTTCCACCATGCACATGCCACCATGCACATGCCACCATGCACATGCCACCATGCACATGCCACCGTTTACTCACAGCGCTGCTCTCATTCATTCATGTACCGTGTACATGCCAACTCAAGTCCCATTCATCCCTGCATCCGCGTGCATGGCATCAGAGGGAGAGCGACTTTGGGTTGAGGGAGCTGCTGCCAGTGCTGGTGTTGGGCATCACAGGGGGCCTCGTGGGGGCGCTCTTCAACACCGCTGTCGCCCGCCTCTCCAAGCTGCGCGCCAAATACATCAACCCGTGAGTCAACACCCGTCAGTCGAACCACTGTGAGGCAACCCATGAGTCAACTTGTGAGGCAACCCGTGAGGCAACCCGTGAGGCAACCCGTGAGGCAACCCGTGAGGCAACCCGTGAGTCGATCCGTGAGTCTATATGTGCTCTCCACGGATGGCGCCATCCATCTGTACACTCTCCCTCTCATGCCATGCTCTGATTCTCACACGTCCGCTCACACTTCTGCTCACCCCCCTTTCCCCTTTCCCCCCTGCTCCCCCCTCCACCAACACAGGTACGGCCCGTAGTGCAAGGTGCTGGAGGCCGCACTCGTGCCCGGTGCTTTCCTTCCTTCACCCCCCTCCCCGCCCCCATTCCCCCAATCAGCTACGGTCCATGGTGCAAGGTGCTGGAAGCAGCACTCATCGCCATCCTCACCTCCCTCACTCGCATGGCCCTCCCCTTCGCCCCGTCCACCTTTCCCCCTCCCCCCCCTCCCCCCCAATGCAGCTACGGTCCATGGTGCAAGGTGCTGGAAGCAGCACTCATCGCCATCCTCACCTCCCTCGCCCGCATGGCCCTCCCCTTCGCCTCGCGCTGCCTGCCCTGCCCGGAAAACGAGGTCTGCCCGGACCCCAGCCTCAACGGCAACTACATTGCTTTCACCTGCCCGGCGGGCAGCTACAACCCGATGGCTGGTCTGGCACCCACCACCAACGATAATGCCATCACCAACCTCTTCTCCAGCTCGCCCGCCCAGTACACGTGCGTTTTTGCACTCTATCTGAGTGTTACACGTGTGAGAATACTCAAAAGTGGCAGGACTGGTGCCCGGCCACCACCATGGCAACGCTATCTCACCAACCTCCTTTCCAGCTCGCCTGCTGAGTTCTCCCGCTGCACTCACGCCCGCCACTCGCTGCACTCACGCCCGCCACTCGCTGCACTCACGCCCGCCACTCGCTGCACTCACGCCCGCCACTCGCTGCACTCACGCCCGCCACTCGCTGCACTCACGCCCGCCACTCGCTGCACTCACGCCCGCCACTCGCTGCACTCACGCCCGCCACTCGCTGCACTCACACCCGCCACTCGCTGCACTCACGCCCGCCACTCGCTGCACTCACGCCCGCCACTCGCTGCACTCACGCCCGCCACTCGCTGCACTCACGCCCGCCACTCGCTGCACTCACGCCCGCCACTCGCTGCACTCACGCCCGCCACTCGCTGCACTCACGCCCGCCACTCGCTGCACTCACGCCCGCCACTCGCTGCACTCACGCCCGCCACTCGCTGCACTCACACCCGCCACTCGCTGCACTCACACCCGCCACTCGCTGCACTCACACCCGCCACTCGCTGCACTCACACCCGCCACTCGCTGCACTCACACCCGCCACTCGCTGCACTCACACCCGCCACTCGCTGCACTCACACCCGCCACTCGCTGCACTCACACCCGCCACTCGCTGCACTCACACCCGCCACTCGCTGCACTCACACCCGCCACTCGCTGCACTCACACCCGCCACTCGCTGCACTCACACCCGCCACTCGCTGCACTCACACCCGCCACTCGCTGCACTCACACCCGCCACTCGCTGCACTCACACCCGCCACTCGCTGCACTCACACCCGCCACTCGCTGCACTCACACCCGCCACTCGCTGCACTCACACCCGCCACTCGCTGCACTCACACCCGCCACTCGCTGCACTCACACCCGCCACTCGCTGCACTCACACCCGCCACTCGCTGCACTCACACCCGCCACTCGCTGCACTCACACCCGCCACTCGCTGCACTCACACCCGCCACTCGCTGCACTCACACCCGCCACTCGCTGCACTCACACCCGCCACTCGCTGCACTCACACCCGCCACTCGCTGCACTCACACCCGCCACTCGCTGCACTCACACCCGCCACTCGCTGCACTCACACCCGCCACTCGCTGCACTCACACCCGCCACTCGCTGCACTCACACCCGCCACTCGCTGCACTCACACCCGCCACTCGCTGCACTCACACCCGCCACTCGCTGCACTCACACCCGCCACTCGCTGCACTCACACCCGCCACTCGCTGCACTCACACCCCCACTCGCTGCACTCACACCCGCCACTCGCTGCACTCACACCCGCCACTCGCTGCACTCACACCCGCCACTCGCTGCACTCACACCCGCCACTCGCTGCACTCACACCCGCCACTCGCTGCACTCACACCCGCCACTCGCTGCACTCACACCCGCCACTCGCTGCACTCACACCCGCCACTCGCTGTGCTTTCATGCGTTCATCCATTCCACCAGCTGCCTCATACATTCAGATTCTTTCTGATCACATCTCCCTCTTTCCCTATCGTAGTCGCCACTTCGCACTTTCTATCCACCACTCCGGTGTGCTCTCCCGCTCCTTGTCCTTTGTGCGTCTGTTGACGCACAAACCTTTGCCAAGTTGTTCATCCCCAGCTTGCAAGACTTCACCAGTGGCCGTTCCCCATCTGTTTTCCGCACCCTCCCAATCACAGCCACACACACTCGCCTTCTTCTTCCTTCTCCTTTTTCCCCCTCACTGCCCTCGCCCCCCGCGCTCCTCACGTTCCTCCCACCCGCAGCCACGCCACGCTGGCGATCTTCTTCCTCGTCTTCTTCTCGCTCGCCATCATCACTAATGGCTGCTCCGTGCCGGCCGGCCTCTTCGTCCCACTCATAGTAGCGGGCGGCACATATGGCCGCATGATGGGCAAGCTCATGCGCTCACTCACCTCCTCCTCCTCCCCCACACTCTCATCCTTCCTCCTCCCCTCCCTCACCTCTCCCCTTCGGTCCGCCGGGTTACTTTTGTTCGGAGAATCTGGTTCTGACACGGGATTGGACGAGGGGACGTACGCGCTGCTCGGTGCCGCGTCCCTATTGGGCGGCTCCATGCGCATGTCTGTCTCCCTCTCCGTCATGCTTCTAGAAGTTACTGGGAACCTTCTCCTCCTGCCCCTGATCATGCTAGCAACAACCATCGCCAAGGAGGTGGGGGACTGTTTCAACGAAGGGGTGGTTGACGAGGCGAGCCACTTAAAACGCCTGCCCATGCTGGAATACCCCCCTCCCGAGTTCATGAAGAATCTAACAGCTATAGACGGCGTGCGCGGGCCGGCTGTAGCGCTGAAGAGCGTGGAGCGCGTGGGGGAGGTGCTGCGAGTCCTGCAGACCACCACCCACTCCGCCTTCCCTGTCGTGCAGATTGTGGCTGTGGGGGAGGGGGGGAGGCTGGGAGAGAGGGAGGAGGAGGGGGGAGGTGAGGGGGAGGGGGAGGAGCAGGCGGTGCTGTATGGCATGGTGCTGCGCTCCAAGCTGCTCAAGCTGCTGGCTGATAAGTCCACCTTCCAGCGCGGCACTCTCTGCACCGCTCGTAACAATCCCCTTTATAAGCTTCCTCTTTCTACCAACGCTGCAGCTGGTGCTGTGCCGGAACCTAGACCTGCTACCCAGCGCACCGTGCGGTTTGAGGGTGTGCCGGGCAGTCCAGAGGCAGCCAATGGGGAGATGCCACGTGGCACAGTTGAAGGTGGCTATGCGGAAGGGCAGACACCCGAGCGAATATTGGCGAAATCTCTGTCCCACAAGCACTGCACGGCGACCGCAATAGTGAACGTTAAGAAGACGCCTTGTATCGAGGATATTGATCTGAGTGCAGAGGAGCAGGACATGTTCCTGGACCTGCACCCCTTCTGCAACACGTCCCCCCACGTGGTGGGCGAGGCCATGAGCCTGCGCAAGGCGTACGCCATCTTCCGGCGAATGGGGCTGCGCCACCTGTGCGTGGTGCGCGAGCGCATGCAGGTGGTGGGCGTGCTGACGCGCAAGGACCTGCTGCCCCACTCGTTTGAGAAGCAGCAGATGGACGAGGAGTGGGACGACGACGACAGCGATAGCAGCGACGAGGAGGAGGACGAGGAGGAGGGGGATGGTGGGGTTGCGAGCATGAATGGGGGGGCGGGGGTGAGTGGCAGTGGTGGTGAGGGTGGAGTGGCAATAGTGGATCGGGCGATTGTGGCCGTGGCGAGTGATGGGGAGGAGAGTGGGAGGCGTGGGAGCGGCCATGCGAGTGATAGTGAGGGTGGTGGTAGGCGTGGCAGCGGGCATGCGAGTGACGGTGAGGGTGGTGGGAGGCGTAGGAGTGGGCATGCGAGTGACAGTGAGGCTGGTGTTGGAACCCCGAGGCGCAGGAAGCGTGCCATTCCTTCCTTCATCTCGCGCTGCCACACACAGAAGTACCACTGAACAGCGCATGCTCAACAACAGCATGCCATGGCATGCTGTACAACACTCAGTGCTCCATCCGGTTCAACAGTGGCACCTACCAAACAAGTGTTGCCTGTTAACAATAGCATGTGACTGTTTCATCCACTTTCATTACATTACTCTGACCAAGTGAGAACAGGCCGTGTCCTCAGACCATGTGAGATCAAACCATGTCCTCTGACCATGTGAGAACAGACCATGTCCTATTGGTTATTCCCGTTTACAGAGTGCGTTCAGGATAATGAGTTTCTTGTCTAGAGCAGAGGCTTGTTGTGCCGTCGTTTTTGCCCATTTCTCCTGTGCTGTTTGCGTTTTGGGGCCACAAGCGCATTACCAGAACCGTGCACTCATCAGAATCCATGCATTATTGCATTGCTCACATGCACTTGGGGAAGTCGTGCGTTCCAAACTTCTCAACAACTGGGAATGCCAAGGACAATAAAAAAGGAACGGTTGCAAACGACACGACGGAGCTGCGCTCAAATCTGTTGTGCCGCGCCGCGACAACTTCTAGGACAGCACGCCGCCGATGCCGTACGCCTCGAAGCAGTTCCCCGTGCCCGTGTGCAGATGCGCCAGCACCGGAACCGGCGCCTTCGTCGACTTGACTAGGCGAACCGCCATTTTCATGGGCGACACGCTCGGGGCCGCCTTGAAAACCTTCACGCTCACGCCGGGCTGTTTCGTCATCTGCACGTCACCCACGGCCATGCTGTCGAGTTGGCCGTCAAAAATGTGGATTCGGTAGAGCTTCTCGTTGTTTTTAATCTTGGTTGGGTTAATTTTCGCCGCCTTGAGAGCCTGATTGGTTGGCAGCAGAAGCGTGCTGTCGTAGAATTCGCCGACATCGTAACCCCCCTCTGCGAAAAAAAGGCCGACGGCGGGCGGGTGTTAGCGTGGGCAATGTGAGTAGAATTTCAGCGTTTACATGCAGCGATGATGTGGGTACTTACGAACAGCCTTGATGAGCTTCTTGAGCTCGGTCGAAATGTCGCTGTAGAATTGAGGCTTCGCGTCCAGCACTTTGACCAGCTGCTGCGCCTCTTTGATGCACGATGGCGTCGTGAAGGCCGTCGCTGTGCTCGCGAGGAGGAAGGCGACGGCGACGGCGACAAGCAGCACGAGCTCACGAGCTCGAGCCATATTGGCGAAGACTGTCAAGAAGGGTCACAAGCTGGCTGTGGGGAGACTATGCAACAATTGAGAGGCTCTGGTCAACTAGGAGATAATTCACACGATTATATACAGACGGAAACGGAAGGCCCGGAAACGGAAACGGAAACGGAAACGGAAGGCCTGGAAGAACCGAAGCGCTGTCGGGAAGGGTCGGAAGATCTTGAAGATCAGACTCGGGAACGAGGGTCGAGGAGGCGTTTCTTTAGATGTACGTAAACGATTTCGAGCTTGGAATCACACAGACAACGTCTCGTGTGTGTGATGTAAACATCCCGCCCAGGCCCCAGGAAGTCAGGGTGTGTTACCCTGATTAGCCTGTTTTTCAGAGTGAGTTTTTCAGGTGACCCTGAAGAACTTGACTTCGATGATTGTACCGCCCTGACATGCCTTGACATGAGTAAATTTGTTCCCTTAAATTCCAGGTAAGAGAGTATTGTCAGCCCTGCCGTTCCCGAGTCTAAGACATTTTTACCTGCAGGGCTCATCTTGCTCTCGAATTTCGGCTAAGTCGGTAAATCTGGCTAAGACTACGAAACTCTGGAAATGCGGCCAAGTCATTGAAAGACACTGGAAATGTGTCTGAGTCACTGAATCACTCCGGGAATTCGCTCAAGTCACTGAAACGCACTGGACATTCAGCGAAGTCATGAAACACACTGGAAATCTGGCAAAGTCACTCGAGCACTCTGGGATTCGGCGTGTCACCGAAACACACTGGAACTTTATTGAAGTCCCCGGGACACGCTGGAAACTTGGCCAAGTTTCTCAAGCATGACTCGTTTCTGGCAGGGTGGCCATAAACACATCGAGAGGCCTGATCCCGCCCACCATACGAGTGGATACAGAAACTGTCCGAGGGGCGAAGCGACGGAGGGAAGGACATCACAAGGACCACACAAGAATGGCGGGAGAAGAGAATTGCGAGGAGCGGCTCGGGAGAATCGAGCCGCATTTCGGCTGTGGACGTTCAACTAATACAAGTACGCTGGGTGGCAGTCAAGAGCGGAACAAAGTGAACCTGACTTTCAAGATGGAATTAGCCTGGATAAAAGCCCCCGCCTTTCTGCAATGAATACATGCACATATTATAAAATCAATCTATCCATAAGGAACATCTCTAATTCCTGCTGAGCATATGATTCCACTGCGCACAACACACTCCACGGGCTCGACCTTTCCCCCGTGCTGCTCGTCATATAGTCTCTCATGTTCTGCGCGAGTCCTAATTATGAATCTCTTCATTGATCTAGCCAAAAGATATCTTGAAGTGTAGTATAAGATGGATACAATAACCGTGTGTCTCTTCTTTGGGACGGTACGGTAGTTGTTCGAATAAATGAGTATGATATAAATTACTTCTAGGTAGTGTTTGCATTGCTGTTTTTGGATTCTATTATATTTCAACATTTTTTTTGTTTGGTGGTTCATAGGATATGTTATGCTAGGACTGGCAAAAAAAAACATGTGTGATGTGGTATGGTTATGCTCCACACTCCACTACTACTAACGCGTAAAGTCGTTGTTTTCTGTCTCCTGCCTTGGGAAAATCGCAGGGATTGCTGTGTTGTCTCCGTCCTGGACAGTTCTTCGTATAATCTACCTCGTTTATCACCCTCGTGTCGCACGACCTCTTCCAGCCGAGCACACGCGGGCACGCGACTTGCCAGAATGTCGCATCTCTTCGCCGCGTACCGCTCCGATCCGATAAAAAACAATCGACCGCTAGAAGTAGTCATTACCGCTGCCTGCTTCCACGAGGGACCCTTTTTAAATTTCAGACAACTTGGAGCATCTCGTTCCAGTCATGAGCATCTACCTCTCCCATCCTTCCACTTATTACGGGAGCTTTCCCATTGCGGCCCTTACTCTGTCTCCCAAACCTCCCGGTCGTGCGGAGAGCAGTAATGCACGCGGATTCAACCCAGCAGCCATTTCTTCCGCAAATCGCGGCGTTCGCAGCACGTCAGCGACCCTTCAAAAGGAGCTTCGGCTGCTCCGTCTTCCTCGGCGCGCTTCGCAGAGCGCTGACTCGCGGGGGTGGCGCGATGCGCATCCCGAGCGCCGCTATGTATAGAGAGCCGGCGGGACCAGACGATAGTAACGTGCAGCATTTGAACGACTCGAAAGCTGCATCCCCGGTCGGGAAGGCAGACGCGTATGATAATTCCAGCAGCCATAGTAGATCCAGAGGGCGAGTGCTGACCCCCGAGGAGCACTGGCAGCGGTACCGGCCGCAGCTGGCGACGAGGTACGGGCACTGGCGATTCTGGTTACCAGCGCAGGGGCGAGAGGCGAAGCTGTCGCTGGAGCTGCTGCGCGAAATCACCCCCGTGGAGGTGGAGAGCGGTGCGGAGGAGTACGTGCTGCGGGTGAGCCCCATGTTCTACACTTGCCCTTGCCTTTGTCTACTCGCTTGCCCTTGCCCCTGCCCTCGCCCTTGCCCCTGCCCCCGCCCCTGCCATTACCGTTGCCCTTGCCGCTTCCCCTGCCCTTCCCCTGCCCTTCCCCTGCACCTGACGTTGCCATCGCGCTTTGCTGAGCGTCCACATGACGCCCGAAATGGTGTGAGATACAACGTGCGAAGCCTCATAGGAGCAAGAAGTCCTCGTTAGGAGCAACAAGTCCTCGTTTGGTCCGTCCGGTAAGGCAATCGCCCTTCACCACAGCTCTCCTCGCCTTACCCAGCTCCCTCTCTCCTTCCCGAATTTCCTTTTTTTTCCTCCTCTCCCTCTCCCCTCGTTCCTCTTCCGTAATCTCGCTCTCCTCTTCTCTCTCATCATCCCTCCCTCTTTTCAACCTCCTCCTTCCCTCCCTTCCTCTGTTCCTTGTTCCCTTGGTCTCACTCTTGCGCGCGCCCCAGCCCCCGTCACATGCAACACGCACAGCAACCCCGCAGCACAGCCCTTGCCCGTTGCCTACTCTCCACCACTCTCCACCTCCACACCCCCACGACAGCGCATTTCTGCAGAATGGGGCGTGCGCGCATGGACGGTACGCACGGATGCTGCTGGGTGCATGCAATGGTGAGCAGCTAGTCATCTCCTCCACTTGCTCCAATCGTCTCCGCTCTCTCTCAACTCCTCTCCTCTGCCTCCACCGCCTTTTCCTCACAGGCCCTGGCGCGCAGCTCAACGTGGCCTTCTCGGAAGCTTCCTTGTCGCTGAGGCAAGACGACACTGTCCTATCAACGGACAGGCACAACAACTCCCACACTGGTGGCAGTGGCGCCAGCTATAAAGCTACTGATCGCAACACAAGCCCCTCCGGCCAATCGCTGCATGACACGTGGGCCAGCCCTCACTGGAAGACCCCTCTTCCAACCCACCTGCCAGCCTCCCTCCCCCCTCTCCCTCCCAAGCCCCTCTATGGAGTTCCCCACTACATCTACACTGACCTCTATGCTACACCTCTTCCTGAGCATCTGAACAACGGGCTGGAAACTCAGAACATGGAGGTGTTTTCAGGGTATTTAGCAGGAGTACCCAAGGCCCAGCACAGCAGGTATGGTGTGTGGGCTCTGCCCAGGGGCGTGGTGGTGGCCATGCCTTCCCCCTTGGAGCCTTTGCTCAGCCGTGAGGGGGAAGGAAAAGGGGAGGAGTTTTGGCTGGTTGTGACGTATGTGAAGGGGGGAGGACAAGGTGTTCAGGGTGGTGGTGATGGGGAGTTAGGAGGGGTGGAGGTGGGTGGGGATGAAGGAGAGGAGGAGGTGGGGGGTGCGCTTGCAGATACAGGGTACATGGCGGAAGGAGAGTGGAAGGTGCAGCAGGTGGTGATAGCATATGATGCACAGGGGAGATTCGAGTACGTGAAGCACACCAGGTTCATGTGATTCGCAACATGTCCTCACATAACGTTCATTCACCTTCACGCTAGACACAGTCACGTGTCCATCAAGTGTACTCCGGAACAATTTGTGAACGTACTCCCTTGTTTTTCAACAAAAAAATCCCTGATTTTATTCATCCTATGTTACAACGTTTCATCCATGTCTCCTTGACTTCCGCTTTGAAGCAAGCAATGAGACGCCAGCGCATAAGTCATGTTACTTCTCTGTCATTAGTTTGTTTATGCAGCATAGACAGACAATTACTCTCTCTATCTCACTCTACAACAGGCCCTCAGATTCACTTTTAGGGACGTTGATGCATCAGGGTCCCTGTGAAAAAAAGCCTGAGTTTTCAGGGTTCCACGTAGAGAAAACTTCCATCAACTGCAAAACAGTTGAAGCTCGGTTACCTAGTTAGTGCACACGAAGTTCTCTGGTTGGGTTGGAAACTGAGCTTGCGACACACCCCCGTGAGTGCCCCAAGAGCAATTGCAAAACATGTTTTGTGTACGTGAGACTTTCGATGTGCTAGGGGCATTTTAGGTTTGGTTCCCAACCAAATTCCCAGACCTAGAAGGTTCGGGGGGGTCTGGCGATTTGCGTTCTCTTCGCACCCCTCGTTTCACCCCTCTACAAATCTTACACCTCGCCAACCAATCATATCCAAAAGTCAACCATCAATTGCAAAACACTTGCTGTACTTGAGACCCTGGCTTAAAAAAAAAGCCTGAGTTTCAATCACATCATGCATTTACTAAGAGAGTAGGCTGAACAGACTGACAGCCAGGGGAATCGAGCCGGGAATCTTACCATTCGGTATCAATTTCGCTAACCACCGAGACAGTTCATCATGTAAGATGAGAGTGTTTTATCTATCTAGACGATTGTATGTTGAAATGTTGGTTGACTGAGGACGCGGTGAAAGTAGACGATCGATCGTCAGTAGCGATCGATGTGCGGATCGGTTACCCTATTAACTATGTTGTAACCATGCTACAGTACGCTTTCTGGCCAAAATTTCTGTACAGTGTGAGAATGCGACTGATCACTGTTCGTGGGAAATCTGTCAATTTTCAGCTGCGATCGTTACAACGTCGCGGTCGCCACGTTTCGCCAAACGATCTGCCCACTCGATTGTGGGGATCGATATATGCACGACGATCCTGCGATATTTGCACTTTCAACGCGTCCTGAATCTCTCGGGTGTTTTACGGTTAGGATTCGGAATGTGCATTCAGTGTACACTTCGATAAAAGTCTGAAACACCAGTGTTAGCTATGAAGTAAAGGCTGAAAAAATCAGTGTCACAAAAATCTCAACACTGGAAAATCAGTGTAGGTACACAAAACTAGGCTGAAAATAAGGAATTTCAGGGAAAAAATCCTGATATCGTAGGGCCTGCTCTACAACCTAAGTGTCAGAGTTATATGACATAGCTACTGTAGGCTATAGTGGGGTAGCACATATGGGGTACAGTTGCCTAGGGTTTGCCTTTTGTACCCAACTTTCACTTAGTCATTTCATTCCTGTTTTCTTGATTCACATGGTATAGAGCGGGTTCCTACATGGGACCGTTCCTTCCTAAGGGCCCACCATAAGAAAATTTTTTTTAGCTGCCCGCGCACATTGCGCCCTGCCCTAAATTTTTTTTTTAGCGGCCCCTACGCTGCCCCTACGCGGCCCCTACGCCGCCTCCCACGCGCCCCCTATGCGGCCCCTGGCGGCGCCCTGACGAGGCCCCTGCCGGCGCCCTATCGCGGCCCCTGACGCGCCCCCTAGTGGCGCCCTGACGCGGCCCTGACGCGGCCTGACGCGGCCCCTGGCGGCGCCCTGACGCGGCCCTGCCGTGGCCCCTGACGCGGCCCTGACGCGGCCTGCCGCGGCCCCTGCCGCGGCCCTGAAGCGGCCCCTGACGCGGCCCTGACACGGCTCTGCCGCGGCCCTGACGCGGCCCTGACGCGGCCCTGCCGCGGCCCCTGGCGGCGCCCTGACGCGGCCCCTGACGCGGCGCCCTGACGCGGCCCCTGCCGCGGCCCTGACGCGGCCCTGCCGCGGCCCCTGACGCGGCCCTGACGCGGCCTGCTGCGGCCCCTGCCGCGGCCCTGAAGCGGCCCCTGACGCGGCCCTGACGCGGCCCTGACGCGGCCCCTGCCGCGGCCCCTGGCGGCGCCCTGACGCGGCCCCTGACGTGGCGCCCTGACGCGGCCCTGCCGCGGCCCCTGACGCGGCCCCTGCCGCGGCCCCTGACGCGGCCCCTGACGCGGCCCCTGTCGCGGCCCCTGACGCGGCCCCGCCACCTACCTTTCCGGCCACGCCGCCTCCTCTCAGCGGCCCCGCCGCCTCCTCCCAGCGGCCCCGGACGCCGCCCTCTCAGCGGCCCCGCCGAGCCGCCCAGCAGCCTAGCCGCCCAGCAGCTGAGCCACCGAGCCGCCCAGCAGCCGAGCCGCCGAGCCGCCGAGCCACCCAGCAGCCGAGCCGCCCAGCAGCAGAGCCGCCGAGCCGCCCAGCAGCCGAGCCGCTGAGCCGCCCAGCCGCCGAGCCGCCCAGCAGCCGAGCCGCCCAGCAGCCGAGTCGCCGAGCCGCCCTGCAGCCGAGCCACCCGAGCCGCCCTGTCCGGTAAGAGCAGCGCCTCTCTCACAGCACTGCCCTCACCCCACTGTTTGCGCTGCTAGTCTACTGCTGTCATGGCTACCCCTAGTGTCCTCGCTTTTGACGCTGAGGGTAGGGCCATTGACTTTGACGTCTGGATAGATGACCTGCAGCTTTTCTTACAGTGCGATAGGGCAGACGGCCTCTCCCTCTTTGACCTCACTTCTGGTGCCTCTCCTGCCCCCGCCACTGATGCTGACGCAACTGTTCGCTCCCAGTGGGCCACGCGCGATGCTGCTGCACGTCTTGCTGTGCGTCGCCACTTGCCTACCTCTGAGCGTGCGCACTTTAGCCAGTACAAGAGTGCTCAGACCTTGTACGACGCTGTAGTTGCACGCTACTCCTCCCCTGCCACTGCTGCACTGAGTCGCCTCATGCTACCGTACCTCTTCCCTGACCTTGCTGCCTTTCCCACAGTCGCTGACCTCATTACGCACCTACGCACTAGTGACACTCGCTACCGCGCTGCGCTTCCTGCTGAGTTCTGCGCCAAGAACCCCCCCCCCATGTACATCACCCTCTACTACATAGTCACCCGGCTCCCTGACTCCCTTCGCGTAGTCAGGGACCACTTCCTCTCAGTTTGCCCCACCACTCTCACCGTTGACCTCCTCGAGAAGTCCCTCCTATCAGCAGAGAAGAGCATAGTAGCTGTAGGAGCCTCTCGTGGTGACCCTCGCACCCCCATCTTTGAGGGGTGTTCCCCCTCCCCCCTTTTGCCCTCTGTTGCCTCTGCTGCTGCGGCCGACCTCGTTGGGCTTGAGTCGGTCGGTGCGGCGTCTACCCCTAGCGGGAGACGCCGCCCTGGCAAGGGCAAGGGGGGCAGGGGCGCTGGAGGAGCTAGCGGGGGCGGTGGAGGCGGCAGTGGAGGCGGTGGAGGAGGTGGGGGTGGCGGTGGGGGTGGTGGCGGGGGTGGAGGTGTCGGTGGCAGCAGTGGAGGCGGAGGCGGCAGCGGCAGTGGCGGAGGGAGCGGAGGTGGCGGCGGTGGAGGAGGAGGCGGCGGAGGAGGTGGAGCTGGTCGGGGTGGCGCTGCGCAGAGGGTCGGCTCCGGTGGTGGTCAGCGCCAGCAGCAGCACCAGCACCAGCAGCGCACTCGTGACATCCCCTCCCCTCAGCAGCTCCGTGAGTGGTACACTGCACGCCAGAGGGGTGGGGGTACTGGTCCGTGCACCTACGTCCTCCGCACCGGCGACCGCGCGGGTGAGCAGTGCGGGGGTGCGCACTCCACCCAGCGCTGCTTTGGCCGCCTGACGGACGCTTGGCGTCACCAGTTCCCTGAGGCCACTGAGATCCCCCGCTGGGGTGAGCTGTCTAGGGCGGGTGTGGCTGTCTTTGACCTTGACTTTGATGCTATTCTTGCTGCCATGTATACTGTGACTATTAGTGATGAGGGTGACTGTTACCGGTGTTTTCCGCCCGACCCGGGCATTGAGACTGCTGCTCTAGGTACTGGTGAGGCTGCTGCTCTAGGTGCTAGCGAGGCTGCTGCTCTAGGTGCGTCTGCTCCCTCAGGTGCTGGTGAGTCTGCTCTCTCAGGTTCTGCGTCGGCTTCGGCCTCCCACACCTTCACCCTTGACTCGGGGGCTTCTCGCTCCTTCTTTCGAGACCGCACCACACTCACGCCGCTTAGCCGGCCAGTTGCAGTCTCTCTGGCAGACCCCTCTGGGGGTCCTGTCCTTGCTCACTTCTCCACTGTCCTCCCGTGTCCGGCGGCCCCCTCTGGCACCCTGTCTGGTCTTTACCTTCCCTCGTTCTCTACGAACTTGGTGAGTGGTGCTGACCTACAGGATGCGGGGGTTCACCAGTTCACTCCTGCGAGTCGGCGGGTGACCCACTGCACGGACGCTCGGACAGGCCGACACCTGGCCACGTTTACCCGTCGGCCGGGGTCGAGCCTGTACACCCTGACCACTGCGTCTCCTCCAGTCACTGCGTCTGGTCAGGTAGCTGCGTCGGGTCAGGTGTTTGCTGCAGCGTCCAGGTCTGGTCCTGAGTCTGCCCCCTGTTCGTGTTGCCTCCTGTCTCACGAGACTCTCCTCTGGCACCACCGCCTTGGTCACCCCTCCCTGCTTCGTCTCCGAAGCATGGCCTCCCGTGTCCTTGTCTCTGGTCTTCCCCGGTCCCTCCCTCCCCTTCCTCCGGGGCCTGGCCCTACCTGCGTCCCCTGTGTCGAGGGGCGGCAGCGGGCTGCCCCTCACTCCTCCCAGTTTCCTCCGACAGAGGCCCCGCTGCAGACGCTTCACATGGACGTGTGGGGCCCGGCTCGCGTCCGTGGACAGGGTCACGAGCGCTACTTCCTGCTGGTGGTTGACGACTACTCGCGTTACACCACAGTCTTCCCCTTGCGCAGCAAG